TATGCTTTAAGATATTCGAAAGAACCCCACTTCTTTTAATAATATAGTCATATATTTCTACAATAACTTTCGTTAAATTCTTTTAATTATTAAGGGTGCTAAATTAGATTATATCGCTCGAGCTATATTAAAGACGTTCTATCTTTAAAACTATATTTAAATTTTTAAACTAATAGAAAATATAAGGCTTTAAAACTCTAATTTTATTAATTAAGGTCGAACTAATATAAAGGAATTCGTCTAAAGGCTATTAGATATAAGTAATAATATCTTAGCAAGCTTCGAAGGATAAGAAGCTGTCGATTAATCTACCGGGTAATTATTAGACGACTTTATTACTTAGCTAATTAATACTATTTATAGTAACCTTAGCCTATATCGAATAGCTAATTTCTATACGTCTAGGGTGATCCTTTATATCCTTAATAAGAATATCGTTTGATTTAATAGTTAAGTCCTCGATAAGTTTTCTAGAGTTAAGATCGTTTGTAATAGTAGAGATTAAGTCGTTAATAAGGAAGATAGCTTCCTCCTACTTACTAAAATAATAAATACCTTCAAACCGGCCTCGCTTTCACTCTATTATTTAAAGTTAAAATAGGATTATATAGTAATACTACTAAGGAATTTAAAGTAGCGTATAGATTTATATAATGGGATACGTCTATAAGTTAAGCATATTAGGTCTAAGATACTCGATTGCTATATTCTTAAAGGCGAATATAACGGTGAATGATACTATATATTACGTATCCCTCTAGCTCCGCCTAATTCGAACGATCTATATGCTCCCTTTTAACGCATCTAATTCTTAATTCGATTAATCTTCAGTATAACGATTAACAAGTCTTAGAGTTAATCATTATAGCAGATCGGCCTATATCTATACTCCGAGATCTTTATTTATAGCTAATTATATATAATCTTAAGTCGAGTTATCAGCAAGATCGGCCTATTAATTATAGCCCTAGACGATCTATTAAGAAAACAACTTACTCGATCGACGAGGTATATTAAGAATAAGATTATTAAGTAGATACTTCTTCCTTAGATAAGGACGTAATTAATCAGCGATCTATAGTGATAGAAGTAGGTCATTTACTGTATAGAAAGCAAGTAGAGTCCGATTTAACTTAGGGTTAGGGCTTTTACCTTCTTTATTAATTTCGTAGTAGTAAAAGTAGGTCAAAAACGCACAGCAAGCGATTAGAGTTCGATTTAACTTAGGGCTAGGGCTAAAATTCCATTTAACTTAGAAAAATCCAACTCCATTTGACTTAGAAAAATGAAAAATCCAACTTCATGAATTTAATTCATGGGCCTTTACTTATCTTTATATAATAGTCTTATACTAAAAAGCTAGATTATAATCCTTATAAATTCTATAATAACTTCGATATAAAGAATAAGACTAAACTTATAAATATTATAATCGAATTTCTTATCTATTAGAAAGCTATTTATAAATTAAACACCCGTAAATAAAAGTAAGTTATTATTAAAAAAATCATTGTCTTAATTATTAAAGGGATTTAAAGACTCGTTACTCTATTAATTAATAAACGTCTAATTATATATAAATAAGTTTTTAAGATTAAATATAATAGTAATAAAATTATTAATAAATTTAAGGCTAGACTCGTTATTAGAGAGTTTACATAAGTAGAAAATATCGACTTTTATAAGACCTTTACCTCTACTCTACGATTTAACTCTCTATATCTATTTCTATTATATATAATAATAATAAATCTTCTAATAGAATAAATAAATATTAATAATACTTATCTTAATAGCGACCTCTATAAGAAAATCTATATAATCTTATTACTAGGCTATTTATTAGTAACTAGTACTAAAAATAAGATACTACTTCTTTAAAAAGAATTATATAATCTTAAGTAATTAGCCCGTATCTAAAATAAGAAATTCAAGTATATTATTAAGAAAATAGAATTTATAGTTATTATAGCTAATAGCTATATCTTTATTCGAGTATTACTAGAGGAAATAGTTATTATAGTACTTTATATAAATAATATTCTTATTAAAGCTAAGTTATAAAGTATTATAAATTATATTAAGTATTAAATTTATAAAGAATTTAAGGCTATTAAAATAAGCCTAGTTAATTATATTCTCGATATTTAAATTTACTATAATTAAAAATTCTATATCTTAATTATTAAATAAGTATAGTACGTCGAAAAGATACTTAAAGAATATTTAATAAACTAGGCGACTTTTATTTATACTCTTATCGATAGATATAAATTAATTTAACTAGGTCGACTAGAAGAAGAATATATAAATTAGCTATAATACTAGAAGTAAATAGAAAGCCTTATATTTCTTATAACTAGTATATAAATTAATATAGTCTTCGTTATAGAAAAGCTTAGTTAATTCTATTATAACTTTACTATCCGCTATATAAACGCCGTAAATCGAGTATTTAAGTATATATAAGATATTATATTTCTAGAACTACGCTATTAAGAAATAGAAATATTAAAAGAATTCGCGAATTTAGTATACGATAATAACTAGAAGAATCGTAAGTTCATCTACGAATTCGCCTTACTATATAAATAAGTAGTATATTTATAATATAGTCGAAAATAGCGAGAGGTAGCTATATCTATTATAGAAGCTAAGTATATAACTTTAATAGAAGAAGATAAGATTATCGTATAAACTATACGATAACTATAAGAAGTTTATTTTCGAGTATTAGATAAAGGTTCTATAATATTACTCGATAATAATAAGAGAATTATTAATCTTATAAAGAATCTCGAGTATTACTAAAGGATTAAATATATCGATATTTAATATTATTATATTCGCTAATTAATTAAAAACGAGGTAGTTAATATAGACTATATACTTATAGCTTAAATAGTAATAAATATTCTTATTAAATCGCTAAATAAGAAGCTATTTAAATAATATAGGGGGCTACTTAGAATATATAGCTATTCGACTAATTAGAAGATCGCTATTAAGAAAGTTCAATATTATATAAAGTCTAAATTCACTTTTTTAAAATAATCTTATTATATATAAGAGTTATTACGTATTCTAGAAGAATAAATTAAAGAGCCGTATTAAAAGTTTACGTTATTTCTCTACTTTCTCTACTTTCTTTATAAAGATTTTTTCGAAGAGTAATATTAATTATTTACTCTATTATCTCTATCTTTTTAATAGCTAAATAAAGAGAAAGTATTAATTTTAACGGCTTATAATTATTAGCTACGACTTATAATTATTAGTTATAATATAGCTAAAGACTATAGTTATATAGCTATAAATAAATATAGTTATAAATAATATAGCTATAGATAATAGTAGTTATAGATAATATAGTTATTAATAATAGTAGTTATAGGTGATATAGCTATTAGCAATAGTAGTCATGGATAATATAGTTATGAATAATAGCCATATAGTTATAACTATGGTGTGCCAGGGTAATTAGTTTACTTGGCGTATATGTGGAATTAACACGCCTGGAAGGCTGAGATGTATCCCCCGAAGTGATCCGATTTACTATGGGCCACAAGCCGAAATCGGATGACTCGAAGGGACGAATCTCCAGTGATTTGGCAAGCGACTTTTTGCATTTATATCAGGCCCATGCCCACTGCATGAAGTTCTTTCCTTATGTTCTACCTATCTATGTATGCGATCTATTTACATAGCATTCATATATAGCCCTAGCCCTAATTGTATTGGGCATAGCCTATCACATTACCAACACAATTGACCCTCTCACGGTCTCGTGCTGTGGGGCGTGCTGGAAAGTTCAAGTTAGGGTTAGGGCTCTCTAAGGTTCGTTGAAAGGGCAGTTCCTCTCTTCACGCATCTTGTTCATCTCAAGCTTGAAGAGGAACCTTTAAGATACCTGGCAGCCCGTCAGCATCATCGATTCCAAGAATTTTACTCTACCCGACATCAAAATCCCACCGCCCTGTGCAACACAGACGCAAAGCAGCGTCAGGACGGAGGCCCAAGGGCAAACATCAGCAGGCCAGACGACTGTATTCCTGCCGCCATGCAAGCAAGGGCCAGATTCTGTATCTTTTTGCGAAGGTTGAATCGGGACTGGCAGTGTCAAGTGTTGTAGAAGCGGTACTGACAAGGATGAGACTGGCGTCAGTGAATTCTCCGTCAGTGTCACCACTTCTTCTTTTTCTACTCCTTTGGTGTCACTAGTCTTGGTCCTAAGATCTTACATTTCTCCTGTACTACCTGGTATGGTTCTTTCCACTCAGCAATGTAAGCTTTACCCAAGCTTACAATAGGCCGATATCTTTTCCATATCATGTTTTTTTTTAAATTTACGTAATTCTTTATGCAGGAATCGAGTACGATGCGCCGGCATCATTGCGGAAGCATCATCTCTTAGCATTGATTTTTTGGTGGTGGTCAGGCAACTTTGGCCAGGGTCGCCAGTCTTGACACCTCGGGGCTTCAGCTTGCTCGATTATGGAGTATGGAGTAAGCTTATGGAGAGCCCACCTCCAAGGAAGATGCCCGAGGATCTCCAAGCGTGCCCAAGCTCCCGCATACTCCGCTTACTGTTACCGAAAACATCCCGCTTTCCCTCCCAATCAGGAAATATTTTCTGCACTATTGCACATGTTTATGCAGCTGATCTCGTTTATATGCAGCTTACTCCTTCTAGTTCCTGACCGCTCACAACTCAAACCTCGAAGCCATGATCTTTCACGCCCCAAGCCCCACGCCCAATGGACCTCCCGCATAACAATCAACTATCGTTTCCCAAAATAGGGGCAGTCGCTTCTCGCTTCTGCTTCTCAGCTTGCTTCATGCAGCTTACACGAAATATTCCCCTCGTTGCCAAGCGTAATAGATGCAGGTATAAAACCATGGCCATGTCGCATTGGCTTCCCATATTTCTCCTGCAGGACCCGCATTGATCGAGACCTGCAAGCACACGCTACAACTACAACAGCCTGTGACAAGCCAAAATGCACGTCACCTTCATATTGACGGCAGTTGCCAGCCTCATAGTAGTCACACTGGCAGGTACATGCAACCAAGACAATTGTTATAGAGCCCTCGAGCACTATCAAGAATCCACCTCTTCCAGCTTCTGCAAGCAGTACCTGAAAACATCGTACGCTCATCTCTTCCTCCACCACCACCTCGAGACATCAACTAACCACCTTCTCAGCACCAAAACCGCACCAAGCGGCATCGCAACCTGCGGCCCTTCCGTACATACAACCCCCCCTCATACACTCTCTCCCACCTGACTAACCCGCCCCACCAGCGCATCTCCAGCGCCTGCAGCTGCCTAACAACCACCACCCCGCCCCCCATCACCACAACCAGCAGCAGCAGCACCTTCGACACCTCAACCTGCACCCCGCAATCCATCTCCGCGTGCCCCACCGCCCCCGACCCCTGCTGCGCCTTCATCTGCGCCGAAGCCCAAGTCCCCTTCGACGTCTGCTCGCCCAACAACCGCACCGTCCTGGCCCAATGCTCGCAGTGCTCCTACCCGACCACGACCGCCACCCCTTCCAAGAAGACGACGACGGCAACCTCGGCCCCCAAGACGACGACGACGACGACCGCGCCGCCCAAGACGACGCTGAGCAGCAGCGCGGCCACGACGGCGCCGGCGAGCTTCCCCTTCCCGACGTCGACGTGCACGGGCAGGCTGCTGAGCATTGCGGGGTGTCCGACGCCGTATGATCACTGCTGCCAGTATGTGTGCGAGGAGGCGCAGGTGCCGTATGATGTGTGCTCGTTGACGAACGGGAGTGGGGAGTATGCTGTGTGTTCGAGCTGTCCTTCGCCGACGCCGACTTGATTTTCTGTTTTCTTTCTTCGATTTTCAAGACTTCTTGGGACGTGTACGCGAAGGCTTGGATTTGTGCCGGGTGGTCGTCGTCTGAGATTGTAAAAGAAATGATGATAGGGTTGGGTATGAAATCGGATGACGCTCGTATCTGAAGGTCTCGACGAATTCGTGCACATGAGCGAAGAATCCACACACAGGCTCCCTCTCGCAGAACCTTCCATTTACGTGCCAACTACTTTCGCACCCCCTCCCCCTTCTCTAATCAGCTCAGTCCCGTCTTCAAAGCACACTCAGGACCCAGAACAGCCTCACTCCGCTCTGCTCTCCTCGGCAAATAGAATGCATTCCCCAGTACAGGGAAAGATATCTGTAAACTATGCGACACTGATCAACCAGGCAGCATCTCATCATCTACCCATCCATCCACAAACCGCAACACGCAGGTCGTACGAAACCAAGCATCCCAAAATGGCAGACTTCAAACAACCATCTCTGATGGAACAGGGTCTTCTTGAAGCTGACCCTCCCTCCTACCCACCGTGTTCTCATTTCCATCTCCCGTATCTTCTTCCCTTGCCGCTTGATCCCAGATGCCGCTTTTCTTGAATCCACTTCCCACACATTCCTAATCCTATCCATTCATCCATCTATCCATCACCCTTTCCCCCTTCCCTCTTCCCTCCCCACACCACACCACGCACGATCGTCTCCATCCGCCTACCGCATTATCCCCCGGAAGAAAGATGCGTAGCCAGAATGGCTCATAAGTACACCCTAGAAAAGCGATTTGATTATCCGATTGTTCCACTTTTTTTATCCGTGTTTGTTGAGGCTCGAACGATCCAAGTCCGGAAAGGTGGGCGAGTATAGATTGTGAGAAAGAAGAAGAAGAAGAAGAAGAAGACGAAGAAGAGAAAAAAAACCCCCCACGGAGCGTAGCCGTGCCGTGGTGACCCAGAAAACCGAAAAGGGAAGATGTAAAGCTGGAGCTCGAGCTCGAGCCAGAGCGGCTGCTACTGGTAGGTAGGGGAATATGGTGCTATAAGATAGCAAGCACATACACATGAACAAATAAAGAAATAAAAAAGAAAGAAGAGTATGAAAGTCGTAAACGTCCACGCCTCCATTCCCAGCATCTCCTTCCCCCAAACCAGATCCGCCGCCCTCATTTTCGAAAAAAAGGTCCCAATAGCCTCATTGGTGTTCAACCCAGAACACCTCTCTCATCTAAGGCCATCCTGCGAAGCTGTTTCCTATCCAGAAATACAAACGCAAATGCCTGACGCACAGCCTCGCTATCGAATGGCCGAGCCTTTCTTTGCTTTTGCTCAATCTATTGAAAAAGGACGATAGATGCACAGGGTTCTTATGCTACCGGCATGAAGCACCACATCATCTAAATATGATTTGAAGATGAGCGAGTAGAAGAGTAAGGTTTCATTAAGATATCGTTAAAAAAAAAAAACAAAATAAAGAAGAAGAAGTAGATAACTTCATAACGTCTTGCAACCGGGCTCATACTCGCTCACGTATAGTAAGCGTTTTGAGTCTTCAGACCCAATGGAAGGGGAGGTGTCAGGCAGCTATAACAATTCATCATTCTCGAGAGATGTCAGTCTCGCAGTGCCCCGGATGCTGCATGTATGCATCGACAGAACAGCCCAGATGGCAGCCGCCACAGTCCCTCCACCCTCCCCCCAGCCACGGGGCTATCAGAAAGGGCAAGTCCATCACATCAGATTTTGTTTCCTTCTCACTTTTCCATGCATCATCTTTCGGCACCGCCGCAACGTTTCGACGCAACGCGCTGCTAACCCGATTCATCCTCGGCGCACCGCCAAGCCTTTCTGCGCGACACAGCCCTACGCTAAGCTGTTTCCGGGATGCACCTCGCGAAGCTGACGGAGATGAGATAAATACCAGTCTCTCTCGCTGTAGCGACATGCTTCCAAAGCTTGCGGCAGACGCTCCAGACGTAATGGCTACGAGGTGTGATACTTATGGGGGCAAGGTTGCGCCGGGGGAAAATGGCAGTGCAGATGGAAATCTGCTTTCTGCTTCCCTTCCTGATATATATATTCGACATCCCTCGCGCAAAACGGAGGAGTTTCACAGAATCAGATTTCCTCGCATTCGTTCGACCTTCTCACAAGAACAGCTCACATCACCGAAACCGAAACCAAAACAAACAGCCACCAATAACGCCCACGTACCTTGACAGCGCCCAACATCTTCCACAATGCCCTCCCCTTCCGAATCCCTCGACATCGCCGAATTGGCCATTTACCTGCCTCTTCTATCCCTTACGCTTTTCGTCGTCTTCCGCCATGGTATACATCGCCAATCAGGCTGGATCTACCTCGCCATATTCTGCCTCATTCGGATCATTGGCGCTGCTCTAGGCATCGCAGCAGAGAAGAAGCCGAGCAAAGTCAGTGATCTGGAGTGGAGCGCGATATTGGGCAGCGTTGGGATAAGTCCGCTGCTATTGGCAGGTTTGGGGTTGTTGAAGAGGATGTGAGTGTCATGCCTGGGAGCAGAGATTGTCTAGCAGAGGCTCACAGGATGGCAACAGAACCGATGAGACCACAAAAAGGGTTCCAACGGAAGGTGCGATCCAGGAACGGAGCCGATTCGAGACTGTGGTATCTTATACCATTCTAGGCAGGATGTAAGTCGATCCTTCGAGATGTCAACGTAGCCGTCTAGAGGAAAGCAAGACTGAATTTTCTCCTCCAGATTCGGCAGACTCGGTGTCCATCAGTTTGCGACATCCTACCGCAGCCGCTTCCTCCAGCTTCTACAGATCCCTGCCGCAATCGCGCTCATTATCTGCATTGTTGGTGGCTCCGACTTGACCGACAGCTCAATTTCCGAACAGAGCACAGGAAAGAAACTGATCAAAGCCGGCCTCATCATCTTCCTGATCATCTATATCTGCCTCTTCCTCCTCATTGCCAAGAGCGCAAGCCAAATCAACGGCCTTCCCTCTGGGGAGAAGCGAGTCCTATCAGCATTAATAGTAGCGCTGCCACTCCTCGGTGTTCGCATCCTCTTCAGTCTCCTCGCATACTTCTCGACAATTTCGACATTCTCCCCAACCCACGGAAATGTTCTTGTACGAGCATTCATGGCAATCTTCGAGGAGATCCTGATAGTCATCGTGTATACCTTGGCTGGCATTTTGGTGCCTAAGTTTGGCGACGCGAAAATGGACGACACCAATCTCGAGATTCTGCATCTGGAAACGAGAGCGAGCACGCCAGCTCGGCACGCTCCACAGCAGGGTTCTCGGGTCGTGGTCTGAGGAAGACTTTGAGCTATACTCCCAGTAGTGATCATCGGAAGAATCGACAGCCTCCCAGCCGTCCGTTTCCTCGCATTGCTGTCCATGGCTTTGGTCGAACTGGAATGGACCCGAACTCAGGCTCTAGAAAGCATTGCAATCCATGTTGAAGATAGTGCTTGTGGATAGCACGTTGGCGGAAATTTTATGGTCTTAGTTGCTTCTGGTTTGAAATCATAGAGTCGAGGCTCAGATTGCTTGTCCTTACCGGTGTCCCCGCATCGGATGACTCGATGCCTCGTTTGTCAGTACCATAGAATGCATAGAAATCCCGAGACATCTCTAGATCCGAATCGCATTAGTCTGGGCGTGGGTTCTCATACCCAGACGTACCGGATGAATATAGCACGCGCTTAGTTGCCTTTTTGCGGAATTCACCATTCATCAAGCACCTCGTCTGCGCGCGCTGTCTCGAATTTATCCCACGCCGTGATCTCTCGTTTGGTTCTTAAAACATTAGCCAAAGACTCGGCTTGTTTGATGCCCATGAGCCGTCCAATCAGTGCAAGCCGGGTAATGATCCAAGCACGTATTCCGGTAAGACATTGATCCATCGTTGCAACAAGGTAGAAAGGCCATAGCAGAGATGCCCCTGCCGCCGCTCTTGGGAGCCGGGACGAGTACACGGACGAGTTTGAGGCTCCCAAGATGAAGGGAGCACTTGCACAAATGTCGTAAGCAAGATTTGCAAGTAGAACCTTGGATTGGCGTCGTTGTGATTGGTCAAGTGCTGGATTCGGCATGGAGTTGCGACTAAGCCAAGTCGTGATCACTTGCTGGGTGAGGATGCGAGCGCAACGGTATACATTCCAGACTGAAAGGGCCCACGTGCCTTTGTAGACGTGATACGTATTGGAGAAGACATTTTCGGTGTTGGGGCTCTGTTTAATCGAGTAAGAGAAGGCTGGTGGAAGGCTGTTCTTCCAATCTTCCAGATCAGAGTCAATAAAATTCGCCAGTGTGACGACTCCAATGTCGTTGGTTTCTGGTCTATCTACAGCAGCTCGCAGAGCGCAAAGGCGCCCAATTATTTGGATTAGCTGCCTCTCGGGTACCGCCTTATTGGTTTCACCTTCAGCAGCAATCTCAGCCCATTCGATGACATCCGGAGGGATCATTTGACGCCTTTGGAGGCAGTCGATGAGCTAGATCATAACAGTCAGGTCAAAGCGTTCTGTTCATCCCGAAATCAATGGCTTACAATCTGAACAACTAGATTGTCAAAAAGTTTGCGGCCAACCTTTGTTCGCAATTGATCCGTTCCACGTAGGCGCACTAGCGCAGTAGCTCCATTGACGTGGTTGGTCCAAGACCTCATAGACTCAGGATTTGAACATGTGACAGTCTGCGCAATGTCAGAACAGAAAACGGATAAATCCTCGAGCTAGGACATTACTTCAAACAAACCGAGCAGCATAACAGCCATCAACGTCTGGTCTGTGCTTACTTCTTTCGAATCTTGAATGGAAGCAGTGATGGCACGCAATACCCTCGCATACTTTTGACCCGCCGCGACCATAAGTTCCGGCGCCTGCTTCACGTTCG